CACAAACAAGCCCTTTTATCCCAATGGTCTAGTGGTTGGGATTCTGACATGGTACTAGAGCGAAGGTCTCGGGTTCGAATCCCGGTGTGTGCACTTCGGGCATCCCACTACGGGGGGTGTTAGAGGTCCACTGGTGATCCTCGATTGATCCTAGGGAAGGGTTACAGGCACGTTGGCCTGGGGGGTTATGGGCGCACTTACCCGCTACACAAACAAGCCCTTTTATCCCAATGGTCTAGTGGTTGAGATTCCGATAGTGTTTTGTTTCTTCTCTTGACTGGACTTGTGACCATTGCTTGCTCTGGCTATCCCCCATTTCGCCTATGGGGGTGTGTTAAAACATATGCATAAAACTATCTAGGCTATATTGGGGCTAGCCTTATGGGGTACAGAAATATTCTCGACACTCTAGTTTTGTACCCCACTCTTGACCTAATCACACCATTCATGCCTTAGTCTCTAACATACCGTCATTGCCCGGATATAAAGACATATATCTTATCTCATACACTAAAAAAATGCTTGGGTTATCTAGTATTTGGGAAGGTTTTGGGTGTCTTAGAAGTCTTATAAATGGAAGCTTTTTTTAACTACTTAGAAATATTTTCACACATCTAGAAAAGAGTTTCTCGTTATGAGAGTGGATGTTGCGAAGGTGCCACTTCGGCAACCATTGTTTGGGACGCCACGTTATGGTGAATACTTGCGAAGGCAAATTTGGTAATACATGTGTCAGAATGATATATAATTCTATATAATGTTTTGTAACTGCCTGTAGTGTAGACTACTGTAGTCATCTAACTTTCTATTTGGTGGTGCACCTTTCTTCATTCTTGCCTATTTGTACTGCTCGCTCTATAGTGAAACCACTCTTTTGTTGCAATCTTCTCGACTCACCCAAACTCACTCGAACTCAACTACTCGACCTACTAGCTATGGCTCCTAAGCCTTCCTAGTACCTCAACAACATGAGTCGGCACGTGGCAGAATTCGCGTGTCGCAAGGTTAAAAATGTGCGCGGTATTTCAATTTTCACTATAATATATTGCAGTTTTGATTAAGACACATATGCCTTATCTCGTACACACAAATAGGTGTCTTATAATGAGGCTAGCCTGTTTATAAGAAACACCCGGATAATAGACAACCCATGTCTACTATTCAACACTGTCTTATATCCGGGCGCATACGGTACGTCTTAAGTACAAACGAGGTTGGGTAGAGCAAAGCTAGGGAAAGGATGGGATGGGAATCCTAGCAAATCTCCAATTGGTGAGTTGGCAGATTTGCAGGATTACGAGGGATTCCCAACCAGATAGGGTTGGGATTACAAACTACACCCAACCCGCAAATAACTTGAGCGATATAAAATATAGAACACTAAGTGTTGACAGCCTAATTCTAACATGCTACTCTGAGCACCCCACTCTTCCCAACGAGGCACAAACTGTACATTTATGGCCGCTCCTCTTCTCCCCTCCTTTTCTTGCTCCTCCCCCTCTTGCTCCAGCTCATGCTCCTCGTCGTTCCCCATCTATCCAATTGCCATCACCAGCGGCCCCACCATCCCCATCCCCGTGCCACCTTGCTTCCCTATAAGGCACTGGAATCTCTCCCTGTTGTGCCATCAACTCTCCGCGCCCCTCCCCTTGTCTCTCCTCTCGCCCTTCTCCTTGCCCCTCCTCCCTCTCACCCTTCCCAAGCCCTCCCACTCCACCTTCCTGCCACGCCTGAGCGTCCACATCTGCATGGGTCGTGCTTCCCACTTCCCACTCAACATGCCCACCCCAACCTGCCTCCTGCTGCCCTACCTGCCCTCCCCTGCGGCCCCTGTCCTCACACCCTTGCTCCCTATGCCCGGCTTCATGCCCCTGCTGCACCAGACAAGCTGAACCAACCCTTGTGCTTCTGTTGCTTCCCCCCGCCCCCGCCCATCCAAGCCTGTCAGCAGGTTCTCCCGAGCCTGACGCCAAGCGTGCCCTCCTGTCCACTTTCGGAGGTTCGTCCCGAGCAGTGTCATTCGCGACATTCGTATCCGGAAATTCTCCCGCGTCACTTCCCCCTTCACTCTTGACGACTTCTACACCCTCTCTGGTAAGCGCACCGCTGGCGCTTTAACCATCCGCGTGTTCTTTATTCCTTGTCGAACATCTTCGCAGCAGCGCTTCTCGTCAGGCCGCCGCCCGTCGCCCCGCAGCTTCTCATCAAGCAGCCGCCCGTCGCCCTGCAGCTTCTCGTCGGGCCGCCGCCCGTCGCCCTGCAGCGTCACCCTCGGGCTGCTGCCCGTCGCCTCGCATAAGCACTTCTACCCCCGTTTCCCCCCCCCCCCCCCCCCCCCTTCTTTCCCGCAGCTGAACAGGAATCGACCGATTTAACCTAATCTCGACGGCCTGAAAAATCCTTCTACGAGGCATCCCGACACGGCCGACATTGACGATTTTTGCTCTGCGCGTCCGTCAAATTTCTAAGTTCCTATCGGTGACTTAAGAGCAGCGCTTCGCGCGAGACACTAAGGGCTCTTCATTATGGCCTTCACCTCGTCCACCATTGCCAACCCCATCACCCCACTCCGCCTTGACGCCGATGGCTCTAGCTCCAACTTCAAGGCTTGGAGCTATGGGGTTGACAAACACCTTCTGAGTCGTGACGAGCAGGGATTGGACCTCAAAGACGTCCTCCTCAACCGTGGCAAGGGAAAACAGCCCCTTCTCCCCCGTGAGCCGACCGAACCCGTGAGTGATGCTGACATGAAGGCGTACGAGGAAGCTATTGAAAAGTACCGGAAATGGGAGAAGGCCGATGCTGCTATCATCAGCGTCTTCATCGCCTCCACCCTTCCCAAACTTGTCAACACGTTCCACAACTACCCTACCTCCAACGCCATCTGGAAGTATCTCCGGGATCGGTTCATGAACAAGACGGCAGTCAGAGTTGCCATCCTCATTTCCACCATGTTCCAGGTCCGCCTTGAGGATTGCTCGGAAATGGCCGACTACATCGTCAAGGTGCAGACCATTCATGGCGAACTCAAGGAGCTGGGTATAGTCTTCCCCGAACAAACCCCGGCAGCAGCCCTTCTTGTTGGTCTCACCTCGGCATATGAAGTCACGAGGAAGATGCTTCTCACGTTCTCAGCAGAAGACCTCACTTTTGCTAAGGTCTCCACCGCACTCCTCTCTGCCGAGAAAGACTCCACGGCTCAAGCCAAGGCTTACGCCATCCGTGCTCCCGTGCTGCAAGCAAGTGTCGCCTCGGCGCCCTTCCAGCGCAACCGCTTCCCTCCGTGCACCTACGTCGTCAAGTATGGCAACCGCAAGGGACAAGTGTGTGGTAGCAATAACCACCACCTTGCCACGTGTTTCAAGAAGAAAGACGACGAATGGTATGCCATCCACGGAGTAGACAAGAAGCCGCCAAACTGGATGCGCCCTCGTAAGGCCAACCTCGTTGAGGTCCAAGACCCCTCTTCGGCTAGTGATAGTGCTCCTGTTGATGTGCGTATCAACCTGTCATTCCCTGGCACTACCATGATTAATGAAGCAACCTCCCAGTACATCGCTCATCACAAGCACGACAATACATAGAATTCACACTCGAAAGCGGGGCCACTTACACTGTGCTCAAGGAGACATTCTCCTTCAAACCCCACACAACACATATTCCTCTCCTGGGAGCTGATTCAAGCTTCACCACTCTTGCCAATGGTACATCCACAGTCCCCTGTCCCGCCTTCTCATCCGGCACTGTCACTGGCATGTGTGTGCCTTCACTACGCCACAATCTAGTGGCTCGGAAATTCAAGAGGCAAGGCTACGCACCATTTTCTCGGAGAACGAGGACTATTGCGACATCATCGATCCACTCACCAACAAGGACTTGGCTCGCTTCACCCTCAATAGCAGCGGCCTATACACGCTGCGCGTACCTATCCCACAGGTGTCAACCACCCAAGCACAGATTCGTATCACACTATGCTCATGCCGCAGCTTCTCCAACCCAACCATCGTCTACCACCATCGGCTCGGGCACCCAAACTTCTGCACGCTTGCTGACATGGCCTCCAAGAAACTTCTTCTTGGCCTGCCAGCCTCACTTCCTCCACCACCTGACTCACCCGCCCCCACGTGCCTTGACTGCACCAAGAGCAAACTGCGCCAACACCCCCACCCTGACTCACCCTCAGTCGCAGCAGCACCACTGGACCTAGTGCACATGGACGTCTGGTGCCCTGCCCCTGTTCCCGCATGAGGTGGCCATCACTACTCCCTTGCTATCATTGATGACCACTCCTGCTACGTCTCTGTTCACCTCCTCCACACTAAGGCTGAGGCTCCTGAGGTCATCATGGCGTGGGTCAATCAGGCATAGACCACCTTTGACCGCAAGGTTAAGCGCCTTCACTCGGATGGGGGTGGTGAATTTTGCAACGACAAGCTCAAAGCCTTCTGCTCCTCAGAAGGCATCCAGCAAAACTTCACCCTTCCAGACAGCCCGCAGCAGAACGGCATAGCAGAGAGCCGCAACCACACCCTGGTGCGAATCACTAGGTACCTCCTCAGCCACTCCAACGCTCCACTCTCTCTCTCGGGGTACGCCCTTTACCATGCTGCCCTCCTCTACAACCTTTTCCCCCACCCGCATCTTCCCGACACCACTCCAACCGCACTCTGGCTCGGGAAAACGCCCACTGCCTTAGTGGAGAAAGACGCGTCCAGCGTCTGGACGCATGCGTCCAGACGCTGGACGCTAGTTTCTGGCCCCCGGGACGCAGCAAAAGACGCAGGTCTGGGCAGCCTAAAAAAACCCCCCGGGCAGCCAAAAAAAAGTTATAGGGCAGAGGGAAGAGAGGGGGAGGGGACCGTAGCACACTTTCATGGCAAAATTTCTCCGCAAAAACAAAATTTCAACCACAACACTAAAGCATGAAGGTGAGTTGCAAAATTTCCATAATCACATTTAGTCCAAGGGTGGTTTAGCATGCATACTAACACTAACATGCATCACTCATCCTCCACCTCCTCGCTCTCCATCTCCTTTTCCTCCTCCTTCTCCATGTCCTCCTGCTCTTTGTACTCGTCGAAGGTGATGTCATCCTCATCCACCTCCACCTCTCCATCTTCCTCAAGCTGGTATCCCTCAGGATGGGGAGCGGGGGGAATGTTCCCCTCCACTATCCCCGCCTTCCTGACTTCCCCACTCGGCCCCGCACCGGCCGCACCCTTGTGGTGGTTGTGCACAGCGTTCCAGTTGTACGCAACAAACACAAGGTCGCGGACCTTCTCCGAACCCAACCTGTTCCTGCGCGCCGTGTGCACGCCATCCCACGTGGACCATCCGCGCTCGCATGCTGAAGCGGAGATGGGCTGTGAAAGCGCCCGGCACGCAAGGCCAGCCAAGTCGCGGTACTCCCAGCCGTTCACCTTCCACCACGTCACCATGTCCCCCTTCCTGGCCTTAATCTCCGCCCGGCCCTCTATCGCCTCTTCAGACCCGAAGCACCCCTTGCCCTCCTGCGGCCCCTTCATCGTCCCCTTAGTGTCGCCGCTGCTCTTCCAATACTTGTCGACGAATGCTCGCAAGCGCTGCAGCCACGCCTTCATCACCCTAGTGCACTCGACGTCCTTGTGGTAGATCCCCTCCTCTTGGTTGGCCGGGTTCAGCATTCGGCCAACCACGTGAAGGGGGCAGGCCAAGCTCTCGTCCCAACGCCGCCTCATGTGCTCCTTCACCCCCTCCTTATCCTCATCCTTGAGCCCACAATCATCCTTCTCCAACAGCTCCTGCAAGTCCTCCGTCAGCTGCATCATGATGTCGTACAACTCACCCATCCTCCCCTTTGCCTCCCCATCAGTCCGCCTCATCACCTTGTAGGGCAGCTCCATCACCCGCACGAATGTCTCCGCCTTCTTCCACCACTCAACATCCAACACCGACTTCGTAAATGTCTTTCCAGTCTGTGCGCTACCTCCCTTCTCCTCCCATTCCTTGTGCGTCACCATCTGCGCTAGATGCGAACGAATCTTGAGCAGCCGCGACACAGCAATGTAGTTTGTCCCAAAGCGCGTGCCCGCCGGGCGCAGCGGCTGCAGCGACTTCTCCTTGCCGTGCAGCTCGGGACACCGCAGGAAGGCGCGCATCCACGTGTGGCTGCGCACAAACGAGATGATGTCGCACGCAACAGGGACGACATCCTGCGCCCAATCCATCCCGCCGATGTCCTCCATCAGCAGGTCGAGCACGTGAGTGGCGCAGGGAATGAACTCAAGATGCGGGTATATCTTCTGCAGCTTCTTGCTGGCGGACACGTAGTTGCTGCCGCCGTCCGTGCAAACAACGACAACGTGCTGCGGCCCAATCTTCTCGATGATCGGCTGCAGGATGCTCACGATGAACGCTCCACTCTTAGTCTCCGCCTTGCAGTCGACCGCCTCCTGGAAAACTGCGCCGCTGTCGTTGATACAAAGGATGTTCATCTGCGCGCGCCCGCTCTTATCCCGCATCATGCCATTGGCAATCGTCACGCCGGTCTCCCTCCAGGTTTTCGTAATAGGCTCCAACCCCTTTTCAATTCGCCTCTTGCACTGCTGCAGTCCGACGCCGCCAACGTAGTCACGCTTGGGGGGGACGTAGCTGCTTCCAGCGGCAGCAACGGCGCGCAACATGTTGAGGAAGAGCGGGTGCTCGCACTGACGCTCCGCCGTGCGCGTCCCCGCGATGTAGAGGCAAATTGCCTCGTCGGCCACACACGTCGCCGTCTTCCCCCCCTCGCCATACCAATCCTCCATCCGCCCCTTCTTAGGCTTCGGTCCTGCACCGCCTCCGCCGCTCACTGCGTTGAGCGCCGCATCCGTCGCCCTCTCTTTGTCCTTCCACGCCGTAATCTTGATCTCCTTCTCGTCGCGAATGGAAGCAGAAACGCGCTTAGGAACCTTCGCGCAAACAATCCCGCCATCGCGCCGCACATTCCCGTCGTTCCATTTGGCGAGATGCTGGGTGCATCGGCTACTACTAAAGGCGAACTCTTTCCCGCACCAAAGGCACTCGCATTGCTTCCCCTTCTTGGTCGGATCGTCAAAGGTCCAAAAATGCCTATAAATATTGTGCTTAGGGTTTTGCGGTTTCTTCTCAACGACATCCTTAGTGAAACGCTTGGGGGGAGTATCACCGTCGGGAAGGACATCTTTCGATGCGCTAGAAGACGAGGGACTGCTAGAGCTAGCCATAACAGACGTGACAGGAGGGGAGCTAGAACCACTAGGGTTTTTGAAAGAGAATTGGGTTGTGAGAAAAGTGAGCACAAATGAAAGGTTTCATGCACTAAATGGGCTTTGTGGTGGTGGTGGGCTTCAAAGGTTGGGTTTTCTAGATGTGGAGTGGTGGGGAGGGGTTGGATTTCCAGTTCAAATTTGCATTAGGAATGGGTGGCTGGTTTTGGGGGTCGAAATGGGTTGGGGGGGTCGAATTTTGGCGAAATTGACATTCGCGACGTAATCGCGAATGTCAATTTCGCGATCGCGGGAAAAAAAAAATAATCCGGTCTGCCCGAAAAAAATTCCGCCCAGCGTCCTGCGTCTTTGCGTCCGGACGCAGCGTCCGGACGCAGGACGCAGGGCCGCCCCAGCGTCTTTCTCTACTTAGCCCACAGCTCGCTCTCTTTGCGTCTGGGGGTGCACCGCCTATGTCCTCCTCAACCCTCAGGCTAGGCGACAGCACGGTGGCAAACTCGGTCCCAAGACTCAAATGTGCATTTACCTTGGGCACAATGCTGACTCCCCTAACTACCTCCTCCTCAACCCCTCCACTCAACAGTTAGTCTGGAGCCGCGACGTTGTGTTTGATAAAACCCGCCCATTCTACTCCACCTCGGGACGGGATCCTCTCTCTGATCCGCACTCTCTCGTATGGGCAGACTTTGATGCGCCTACTGAACTCCCGCCTGCACCGCCCCCTTCACCCCCTACCTCTCCTGCCATCGCACCATCCCCCTCTAAGGTCTCTGACCCGACTTCACCGGTGTCTTCGGCAGCTGCTCCTCCATCCCCCTCACCCCCCACTCTGCCAACTACGCCGCCCCCTCCGAGCGCACCAATCACATACCATCGGCGGTCGAACCCTCCGGCCCCACCTCCTCCCTCAGTCCCCCCCTCCCTCCCAGGAACCCGCTCCCCCACAGCCGCCAAAACTGATCACGTACCAGCGGCGGCCAATTTTCTCGCCCACGTCTCCTAAACCAACCCCTCCGACACCGCCTTCTCCACCCTCTTCTCCGTTGGCTCATGGCACTCGCTCGCATGGCCCTGCTCCTCCATTGGCACTGGCTATTCGATGCTCAGCGATCACTCCGACTCCTCCTGCCGGGGGGGGTGTGCCCTCAAACCTTTTGGAAGACAGGTATGAGGAGTTGTGTGATCTTCACGCAGTCATTCTCCAGCTCTCGCACATCTTCCCCGACATCACTGAATCACCCTCACTCAACTTCACGGAGAACCCGACCATCCCTACCCCTCTCACCGTCCAAAAGGCTCTTTTGGGTCCCCATGCTGCTGAATGGAGAGCTGTCATGGAAGCTGAGATTGAAGCCTTCACTTGCAACCACTCTTTCGACGACAAAACTCCACCTCCAGGGGTTAACATCGTTGGGGGCAAGTGGCTGTTTCTGTCAGAATCCCAACCACTAGACCATTGGGATAAACGGGCTTGTTTCAGTAGCGGGTCAGTGCGCCCATAACCCCCCAGGCAACCGCGCCTGTAACCCCCCCTAGGATCGATCGGGATCTCACAGTGTAGCTCTACTGACACCCCCCCACACTGGGAGGCCTAGGACTGAGCACAGTGGCAACGGCCAACATGTGCATACACCGGGATTCGAACCCGAGACCGCTCTGATACCATGTCAGAATCCCAACCACTAGACCATTGGGATAAAAGGGCTTGTTTCAGTAGCGGGTCAGTGCGCCCATAACCCCCCAGGCAACCGCGCCTGTAACCCCCCCTAGGATCGATCGGGATCTCACAGTGTAGCTCTACTGACAGTTTCGAGTGAAGCAGGTTCCGGACGAGGCCCCAGTATTCAAAGCTCGATATGGGGCCAAGGGATTTACTCAGCAGCAGTACTTTGACTTCTTCAAAACATTCTCCCCCACATCCAAACCACCCACTGTTCGCACGCTCTTGGATGTAGCTGCACGAGAGGACTTTGAGATCAAATCCATGGACGTCTCATTGGCCTTCTTGCAAGGACACCTCAAGGAGACAGTGTTCATGGATCGTCCCGAAGGCTTTCCAGGAAAGTTCCCTTCCAACACTGTCTGGAAGCTGAATCGCCCTGTTTGTGGACTTAAGCAAGCCCCTCGCGAATGGCACAACAAGGTGAAAGAAGTCTTTCTCTCCCTGGACTTTCACCCATCATCTGCTGACCCGACTCTCCTCATTCGCCGTCACTCTGAGCCATTCTACATCCTTGTCTACGTCGATGACTTCATCCTCGTTGCCAAGGACTCGGCCCCATATGACCTCTGTCCACACGGCCCTGAGCAAGGCCCTCCTGATGAAAGACCTCGGTGACCGCAACCACTACCTGGGGATGGAGATCACACGTGATCGCCATGCTCGCACCATTTCACTCTCCCAGGAGTTCTACATCAACAATGTGCTCAAGCGGTTTGAGATGGAGCTGTGCACTCCTCTTGCCACCCCGCTGCCGCTGCAACACCTCCTCACAGCCCCAGCTGTACCCACACCAGAGGCCTGCTCTGAGCCATACCCGGAGCTTGTTGAGTCCCTCATGTACGCCATGCTGTGCACCCGGCCGGACTTGGCATATCCTGTCAGTGTCCTCTCTCCCTATGTGGACTGGACGCTTTACTGATCTTCATTGGAAGGCAGCAAAGCGGGTACTTCGTTATCTTCGGGGCACGAAGTCTCATGTTCTCACACTCGGTGGGCTCTCCCCTCCTCGACTAGAAGGCTAGACTGACTCGTCTTGGGCTGATGACCAGACCGACCGACGCTCCTCTCAAGGGTACTGCTTCACCCTTGGGAGCGGAATTGTGAGTTGGCGCTCCACCAGTCGTCCGCAATCTTCCTCTCCTCCTGTGAGGCAGAGCTCTACGCTGGCACCATGGTTGCTCAAGAGGCCCGTTGGCTCACCTTCCTACTCCAAGAGCTTGGCTACCCACAGTCCACCCCCACCCTCTAGTGTGAGAACCAGAGTACCATCCACCTCTCCCAAGACCCCATGTATCACACTCGCACCAAGCACATCGAACTCCGGCACTTCTTCATCCGTGACATTGTCCAGCAGGAGCAGCTGAACGTGGAGTACGTTGCATCTGACTGCAACCTGGCTGATCTGTTCACCAAGCCCCTTGGGAAAGTTCCTTACCACTGTCTCCTTGGCGCCATGGGGCTCTGTGGTCCACCTTCTCTGCCCTGAGTTCGATTGACGCCTATGGGGGGGTGTTAGTGCTAGCCCTCAATCTCACATTTTGTACTTTAAATTTTCTATATCCTAGAGTAGTGTAATTTGCACTTTGTGTTTGGTTGGGTGTACACCTACATCCCAACCAAACCCAAATGTAATCTCCAACCCACCAATTGGAGATTGCTTTGGGATTACCCCCAATCCCTAGGGATTACTCACGATTCCCAAACCCATCCATTCCTTGCCCATCTTGGATGTACTTAAAGAGCCTCAAGCTCATTACTAATGCACCAATTCTAAGCCTAAGTTGAGACACCAAATGCCACCCACGAGTGAGCAGGGGTAGCAAGCGGTGCGGTGGTGCGAGTGTAGTATCTCTTTGAGCCGGGCGGCGCGGTGGTCCGCGTAGGTGAAATAGAGCACGTGGGGGCGGCCAGCCTCGGAGGCAGCCATCCACTGCAGCATGCTCTTCACCTCCAGATCGCCCCCAAACGACCGCACCCCCAGTTGCCCGTCGCTATGCCCATGCGCTTCTGCTGCCATGTCAGGCTCACCCACCCCGCCCTCACCGCCCTTGCTGCTGTTGCTCCCGCCGCTACTGCAGCCGCTGCTGCCTCCGCTGCTGCTGTTGGTGGTGGTGGTGTGGTTGGTGCTGCTTGCTTATCCTCGCTATAGTCCTCCTCCATTGGGGTTGCCTCGACTTCTATCTCCATATCCCTCCCCTCCCCACTCCCCACCACACCCCCACCTGCCCCTGCAGCCCCTTCTTCAAACCCCCCTGCTTGCTCCGCCTCTCTCTCTTCCCCCCACTCCTCCCGCACTCCCCCCAACCTCCCTGCACCCCTCTCCACCATGACAAACCCCTCATCAACAATCATCCCCTCGTTCCCTCCCCCTCCTCCCCTCGCCTTTCCCCCACGCCCCTCCCCCATACTCCTCCCCCCTTCCTCCCCATCACTCCCCCTCCCCTCCCCCTCACTCCCACTCCCCCCTCTCTCCCCTCCCATAAACCTCGACGACAGGGACATTTGCGCAGTACCCTCCAAAAACACCGGGCTATTACTGTCATTACTTGCGAGAATCGACCCTCCGACGAACCCCCTGGCAGAAGCATGGTCTAGGAAGCCACAGAAGGCCTTGTTGGTCTCTCTAAGAAGGCAAGAGCTGTGGTACTGGCGGTGTGCTGCGAGGGGCACGGCATCCATGGCTACTACCCGCGTGTGGCGGCGGCCTAGGGAGTCCCGCGGGGATGTGTCGATGAAATCTCCCGCGAACTTGAAGGTTTTTGCATAGCTGAGGGCAGGAGAGTGAGGAGGGGAGTTATGGGGGAAGAGTAGGGGGAGGAGGCCGGAGGGGTTGGGAAGGGTGATGGAAGGATGGTAAGCAAGCAGGATACGGTAAGGTACCTCAACCCACTGTATCTGCTGACTCATCAATAAAGATTTGCTGACTCGATCCGTCAATCTGCTGACTCACCCAGTGTATTTGCTGAACCGCTTGTTAGGGTTGGTTCGCCCAACCACGGAACCTATGGCGAAAGTCTCTACGACGGCGGAATGACGGCGAAATGGAAGCGCGTGGATGATTCTAGGTGAAACGGTGCGCATTTTGTGTCTTGCCTGACTATAAAACTGCTTGTACTCATTCTGGAAATCATACCAATCAGATTCTGAAAATTGCTGAAGTGTGTATTGACAACTTGAAGCAGAGCTGCGCATATCATTGGATTCGGGAGATCGTGGAGAACACGATGGGCGATAGCAAGTAGACTATTGCCGACTAAGGTGCTTACGATACTAAGAACTGGTATCAGAGCTTGACGAACGGGCTCGTCGATCGTCGCGAATTCATTTGGTGCGCTAAGTGAAATTTGTGGAGAAGAGGAGTTGTTCACGCCTACGCTATGGGAGACGAGGCCAGTTCGGGTTCCAGTGTGAGTCTTGGAGACCTGCAGTTGAAGGCTCTTCTCGAGGCCCTTGCGAGTGGCCGATTGGTGGCGAAACCGACGATCGGGCTCAGTGAAGCTCAGCGCTTCAATGGAAGCAACTACAACGTGTGGCGAAAGAAGTTCATTCGAAGGGCAGAGGAGGTGGACCTCTTGCCGTACTACCGTCCCGACGAGGAGACGATGGAGGGAGTTGCGCCTTCCGCGACGGATAGGAAGGAGAAAATAGCGGCGTTCAAAAAGCAAAGTAAGCAAGCTTTCTTTCAGCTTTGTCATTCAGTTGCCGATGGAATCGCGGTGGATTTGGACCAGTTTGCAGGGGAGCTGAACTCTGCACAGAAAGCGTGGGAGTACCTGGAGTCCACATACATGGGTACGAACGATGTCAACAAGAAGGCGATTAGGAAGCAACTGCTGATGCTGAGCATGGAGAAAGGCGAGAAAATCATCACCTACATCAACAGGGTGAAAAGCTACAACGACGATTTGCGGGTGATGGGAGCCGCGGAGACGGAGAAAGCGATGATCGACTATATAGTCGATGGACTACCTAAGGAGTGGGAATCCGACATCGGTATGTTTAGGTACCAACCGCCGGAGAGTTTGATGAAGCTGCAGGAGATTCTGCAGTCGCTTGAGACGGTGAAGGAGATGAGGAAGAAGAAAGCAGCAGCAGCAGTTACAAAATTCGACGAGGAGAGGCCGGGTATGGTGAATGCCACGAAGGCGTTTGGAGCATGCTACCAGTGTGGAAAGAGGGGACATAAAGCGATAAACTGCTACGAAAATCCTCGAAGCAGAAACTACAAGGGCAAAGCTGTGGAGAATGATAAAGGAGAAAATGCAAGAGCGGAGTGGTAGCAGAAACGAGGTTTTGGCGGCAAGTGTGATTATTGTGGGCGTTACGGGCATCGTGCCGCAGAGTGCTACTCCAACCCGAATAGCATGAGCTACAAGGGTCCGTCGCAGCAGAGGAATGTGGCGACAAAGGCGAATGTAGTGGAAGCGGAAAAGGAGGATGTGATTTTGGGAGGAGCGCATCTCGCGAACGTGGTGCGTTTACCGAAGGAGGCTCAGACAGATGGACGTGAGAAGAGGGCGTGGTTCATGGACAGTGGATGCACGCGTCACATGACATTCAGGTCAGATTGGATGGAGAATGTGAGGGAGTCGAGTGAGGATTATATACTACAAGGTAACAGTGGGAAGTTACCAGTGACAGGAGAGGGTGACGTGGTGCTGCAGAGTCCGTATGGAGAGATGAGACAGGAGAATGTGCTGCTGGTTGAGGATTTAAAGGTGAATCTGGTCAGTCACTCACAGCTTGATGACTTGGGGTGCAAGATATTTTATGACAGAGGTGAGGTTACAGTGTTTGGTCCTGAGTGGGAGAAGTATGCGGATGGTTATTTCAGTGACGGGTTCTATGAGATGAACTTGGTCGCGACGAATAATACGGATGAGATCTATGAGGATCCTGAGTATGGTGCGATGGGAGAACTGGAGGAGTTATTGACTAAGGTTGATAAGAGCGAGGACACGGATGACACGGGAGCGAGTGTGGAGGCAGCAGTGAAGCAGGAAGAGGAGATAGTGATCACGGAGGCAGCAGCAGTAAACGGTGGAGATAGAGACGATGTCAACACCTTTGCAGCAGCGATCGTGGTTGAAGATGAAGCAGTAAATGCGAAGTGTGTGGGAGTTGAAGCTGTGAAAGGGGACATCATGGTGAAAGGATCAAAGGCGAATGCAACTGCAAAGGGGCAAGTGCTTAAGGAGGATGAACGCGATGAAGGGTACGAGACCCGAGAGGTGTTGGGTGTAAAGATGCCGAGGAGAAGCGAGAGGCATAAGAAAATCTCTCAAGGTTTGGATGTCAAGGCGCTCAACTTCAAGACACGTAAGCAGAGGTTCAAGGTGCAGGAGCTGCAGGGGAGCGTGAAGCCGACTTAGACCCTGTGAAGGCTACAAGGAGTAGGGGAGGAGTGCGAGTGGAGTTCGTGGTTGACGAACCACAGGGGAGATTGTTAGGGTTGGTTTGCCCAACCACGGAACCTATGGCGAAAGTCTCTACGACGGCGGAATGACGGCGAAATGGAAGCGCGTGGATGATTCTAGGTGAAACGGTGGAAATCGGCCTACGGCGTGAGAAGGGAGAGAGAAATCAAGAAGGAATGTGTGAGAAGGTGGAAGAAGCATCGAGATTGAAGTTGGCGAAGGGAAATTGTGGTTCGAGCTCGAGGGGTGTTCGAGAAGGTTCCAGATTCGGTCTTGAGGAGTGTTCACCGAATTCGGTTCGGTTGCGTGTGTGACTCGAGGTGAAACGAAGCGCACGCGGTTACTTGGGAAACAAGTGAAGTTACGAATCGCATTTTGTGTCTTGCCTGACTATAAAACAGCTGTCAGAACTTATAGCTTACTTGTTTCTGTAGGCTATAGTGGGGTATCCCATAGGGGGTACAACCCAATTAGGGTTTCCTATTTGTACTCACTTCGTTCATAGTCATTCCATTCTCGTTCTTTGTTTTCACATGGAATCAGAGCAGGTTCCCTCCTAGGGACTGCTTCTAGGGCCCACCGAACCGCGCCCCGAGGCGCGTTTTTTTTTAGCGACCCGTCGTGTCGCCCCTAGCGGACCGTTGCGCCGCCCTTCCCCTCGCGGCTCCGCCGCCCTTCCCTAGCGGCCCCGCCGCCCTTCGATCGCGGCCCCGCCGCCCTCTGCTACGCGGCCCCGCCGCCGCCCTTCGATCGCGGCCCCGCCGCCCTCGGCTACGCGGCCCCGCCGCCCTCTGCCTCGCGGCCCCGCCGCCCTCTGCTACGCGGCCCCGCCGCCCTCTGCTACGCGGCCCCGCCGCCCTCTGCTACGCGGCCCCGCCGCCCTTCGATAGCGGCCCCGCCGCCCTTTGCCACGCGGCCCCGCCGCCCTCTACTACGCGGCCCCGCCGCCCTCTGCTACGCGGCCCTGCCGCCCTTCGATCGCGGCCCCGCCGCCCTCTGCTACGCGGCCTCGCCGCCCTCTGCTACGCGGCCCCGCCGCCCCCTGCTACGCGGCCCCGCCGCTCTCTTCGGACGCGGCCCCGCCGCCCTCTGCTACGCGGCCTCGCCGCCCTCTGCTACGCGGCCTCGCCGCCCTCTGCTACGCGGCCCCGCCGCCCCCCTGCTACGCGGCCCCGCCGCTCTCTTCGGTCGCGGCCCCGCCGCCCTCTGCTACGCGGCCCCGCCGCCCTCTGCTACGCGGCCCCGCCGCTCTCTTCGGTCGCGGCCCCGCCGCCACTCTGCTACGCGGCCCCGCCGATCCGCCCAGCAGCAGCCGCCGCCGCCTGAGCCGCCGCCGAGCCGCCGCCGAGCCGCCGCCCGAGCCGCCGCCGAGCCGCCAGAGCCGCCGCCGAGCCGCCCGTGACGCCCGAGCCGCCCGCGCCGCCCAGCAGCAGCCGAGCCGCCGCCGAGCCGCCGCCGCCTGAGCCGCCGCCGAGCCGCCGCCGAGCCGCCGCCGAACCGCCGCCGAGCCGCCGCCCGAGCCGCCGCCGAGCCGCCCGCGCCGCCCGAGCCGCCTGCGGAGCCGTGCTGCTGTTCCTCTGCTGCTGACCTACCCGCCTCTCCCAGCCCGGTGAGATTTTCAGCTGCTGTCATGGCCACCCCCAATGTTCTTACCTTTGACGCTGAGGGGAGGGCCATTGACTTTGCCGTCTGGATTGAAGACCTGCAGCTGTACTTACTGTGTGATGCGATAGATGAGGTCTCTCTCTTTGACTTTGTCTCTGGCGCTGTCCCTGCCCCACCTGCTGATGCTGACTCTGCCGTTCGCTCCAAGTGGGCGACCCGCGATGCTGCTGCACGTCTTGCTGTGCGTCGCCACCTCCCTTCCTCTGAGCGTGCCCACTTTAGTCAGTGCAAGACCGCTCAGGCCTTGTACGACGCTGTAGTTGCACGCTACTCCTCCCCTTCCTCCGCTACCCTTAGCCGCCTCATGCTACCGTTTCTCTTCCCTGACCTCGCTTCCTTTCCCACTGTCGCTGACCTCGTTACCCACCTCCGTGCTAGTGACACCCGCTACCGCGCTGCCCTTCCTGCTGAGTTCCGCGC